AAGATGGGCGAGGCCATCGGTGCTGCGACCATCGACTTGGAGTGGGTTCAGGTGCACCCGACTGGTCTCGTGAAGCCGGATGACCCCGATGCCAAAGTCAAGTTCCTGGCGGCAGAGGCCCTCCGTGGTGTGGGTGGCATTGTGTTGGATGCGAACGGCGACCGCTTCTGCAATGAGTTGGGCCGCCGCGACTACGTGACGGGTGAGATGTGGAAGAACAAGCCGCCCTTCCGCCTTTGCCTGAACCGGGCGGCAGCTGACGAGATCATCTGGCATGCGAAGCACTACACCGGACGTGGCGTCATGAAGTTCTACGCGACAGGTGAAGACCTCGCCAAGGACATGGGCGTCCCCTTGCAGAAGCTCGTCGATGCGCACCAGAAGCACTTCGAAGCTGCCAAGAAGCAGGAGAAGGAGCGCAGCTCGCATCTGTCCTGCAGTCGCCGTTGTCGTCTAGATTCTAGATGGTTTCCGTTCTGAGGTGTTTCATTCTTTGTTGCATATCATCATTGCTCGAGGACCCCGATGGCGGCCCCTTTCCGGCCTACCCATCGGGCAAGACTTGGGACGAGCCCAGCGGCAAGACCGGCAGCGGAAAGAAGTTCTTCCACAACATCATCGACGGATCCAAGGTGCCAACCGAGCCCTTCTACGTTGCCATCATCACCCCTGTGATCCACTACTGTAGCTTGCTTGGTGATCTGGTGAGGTGTAGCGTAAACTTAGTGGCTTGAAGCTTGCAAATGTCTAGGTAGAGCCGAGTCAAGATATGAATAGCTATTGAATAGCTTGCCTGCATCGCAGCATTTTCCGGCCTTGAAGCTGATGAGGCATGGGTGGCTTGGAGTGCACCGTCGACGCCGAGTGCATCGACAAGAAGACCGGCAAGCCCGTCCCTGGCCTCTACGTGGCGGGGGAGGCAGCAGGCGGCATCCACGGCAACAACCGCCTGGGAGGCAACTCCCTCTTGGACTGCGTGGTCTTCGGCCGCGTGGCCGGGAAGGCTGCCTGCAAGTTCACCTTCGGTGCCGGCGAGAAGTTCAAGCCCTGCCCAATCCCCAAAGAGCTCAAGGAGCTCTCCAAGTGAGATGGATGGGGCCTATGAATCTCATAGGCCCACAGACCTCGTCATAGTCCAGGTGCCCACGGCTTGAGGGGCCCAAGGGTGCCGTCCCAGCCTCCATTTTTAAGGGTCGACCAGGCACCTGGCATGACAGAGGGATTGCGAGAATGAAGCGAGCATGATCAACTTATGTGTATGCCTCTCGCTGTAGCATTTGCACACAGATGATAAGTAAACAAATCAATGAATACACATGCAACATGAGCAAATGGACACATGAATAAATACTTCTCTCTGTGTGTAGATGCGTCTGTAGAGGCAATAAAAAGCAATGCAGTATATGATATGGTATGACATAGTATAATATAAAATGATATGATGTAAAGTGCTGTTATATATATTATAATGATATAACAAGATCAGATCAGATATGATAAGGTGATACACCATGATACAAAATTCAATACAACAGTATTTTTTAATACAATATATTATAACAACACATTGGATATGACAATACCCTAATGTAACAGGCAATACTTACACAAAATATGATAAGATAAGCCACGGTTGGATAGTAGAATCATAATAATAATAACAATAATAATAATAATAAAAAATATATGTATATATATATATATAACATATAAATACCAAGCGAAACATATAATATGTAATAACATGTAATATAATTTTAAATGTATGTCATGTATGCACAATAGACAGTACATAACGTATAACATATAGCATATAATATTTCTTAGTAAAGCAAATTATGATATAATATAGCATAATCAAACAACATAGTTTCTATTAGTGCATGCATTGATGTGATATACTATCGCAAAGTATAGTACAATAAAAATCGTTTTTCTTTTTCAATATACATACAAGTTAACATCCTAGTTTTATATAGTAATATTAAACAGCAATATATATATATATATATATATGTATGCATATATATATATATATAGGTAGAAAGACAGCTACTATATGATACACATGTATACACACACATGTAGATACGTACACATGCGCATCACAAGACTCAGCACGCTGCAGACACTCAAATCTAGAGATATGTACATGTGCAGTTTAAGTACTTCGCATGTGTATATGCACTTAACCTACAGTTGTCCATGTTGGTCACTGCGAGTTTAAGCTGCAGACCGTCCCTCTCTCTCTACATATGCATATGCAGCTCTCTTTCTACACACATGTAGAATGAATTTCATCCCATGCTTCCTTCATCGCGCGAGCTAGACGTCGCTAGCTGTTCCGTTTGGATTACGCCAAGCTGCACCGTCCGCAGGAAACAAACATGTCGCCCAATGCTCTGATAGAATCCATGATGGCCCAGCCTCCTCCCCGACACGGGCTCCTAGAGGTGCTACGCCGTTAGCTCTAAGGTTAGAAGTATGGGCCCCTAAAAGGGGCGCTTAGGCCTTTCCAGGGACCCTTAAGGGTACATATAGGGTTTAGGGTTTAGGGGTTTCGGATTTTGGTTTAGGGGATTAGCGCAGCTTGCGAAGTCGGATCCAGGCCCCAATCCAAGCACGCAGCCGTGCTTTTTGTGTTGCCCCCTGTGCTACAAAACCCCTATAGCCTTGTAGTCGCCGCTTCAAGGGACCCTACTGTAATTGTCAAGGCGCCTTTATCGCAGAACCCTTCTAGTAGCCCTGGTGGAGCCTTTCAGAGGAACCGTATTGTAATTATTAAGGCACCTGTATGGTAGAACCTTTGTCGTAGCCGTTAAAGAGCCCCCTAAGGAGCCGCAGACCCCATAAGCCCTGAAACCCCAAACACATGAATCTTAAACCCTAAAACTTGAAACCCTAAACCCCAAGCCTCAAGCGAAAAGTTTGAAACCATGCGTGTCGTTGCTGTCTGCTGCCATCCCATGCTCAGGCTCAAGACATGAACATGCTCGATTTCGTATGTGTCCTACTGGCAGTTTTCGTGATTCAGCAGCACTAGGTTAGGAAGTGTCCGGAAACTTTCGAAAGGGCCACAGATGTCATCTCACCCTCAAGCCTATACCACACCTACGCCCTAAAACCCTCTATAGCTGCTATACCCATGTACCCCGTATACCCCTCTAAAACCTAAGCCATAAACCCTAAACCCTAAACCCCTTACCGACCCAGACCCTCCAAGAGAATTCAATGTGCCGATGACCCCTTTGCATGATGCAAGGCTTGAGGCCCGGCGCTTAGGGGTTTTAGGGGTTTTAGGGGTTTTAGGGGTTTTAGGGGTTTAGGGTTTAGGGTTTAAGGTTTAGGGGTTGAGGGTTTAGGGTTTAAGGTTGTTTAGGGTGCAGGGTTTAGGGTTTATGGTTTAGAGTTTAGGGTTCAGGGGTCAGGGTTAAGGGCTGGCCCTCCCTTTCGAATCATGTGGAAGCAGCTGCCCAACCCGGCTTTTCTTGAGGGCTACTCTATGGTTTGTAAGGACCGGTTTGCATCCCTAAACCCTGAAGCCCTAAAAAGATATTCTAGTATTGTATAGGATGGTATGGTGTAGTCGAGTATGGTATCGCATAGTATAGGCTAGTCCAGTATAGTTGAGTATAGTATAGTCTAGTCTAGTGTAGCATAACAAGTTCTAACCTAAACCCCAAACCCCAAACCCCAAACCCCAAACCCCAAACCCTAAACCCTAAACCCTAAACCCTAAACCCTAAACCCTAAACCCTAAACCCTGCTAAGCCCGGATGCACTAAGTGCCAGGTTGTGGCTGCTGGCACTCTTCTTGCGCGGCGAAGCCGTAGAATTCAGAGGTCAGGGTTTAGGGTTTTGGGTTTAGGGTTTAGGGTTTAGGGTTTAGGGTTTTTGTGACCTCCGACCTCGATCCTCTGCTGGGAGGGCTTGGGCTCTCTGGATTTTGCCGGTTACGGCTTTGGATTTGGGGTTAAAGGTTTTTGGGCTTAGATGTTAAGGTTGAAGGTTTTGAGGGGCTTCGCAAACCCTAAACCCTAAACCCTAAACCCTAAACCCTAAACCCTAAGTCACAAAGTCCCTAAACCCAAAGTCCCTAATCACAAAGCATCGCAAAACTCACAATGGAGGCCGCGGAGTCCTCAGAGCGGCAAACCCAAGAGACACCCCTGTAACTTTAGGGTTTCACGTTTTGGTTTCGGGTTTAAGGGTTTAGGGTTTAGGGTTCGGGTTTAAGGTTTAGGGTTTAGGGTTTAGGGTTTCGGATTTTGGTTTCGGGTTCCGGGTTTCGGATTTTGGTTTAGGGTTTAGGGTTTAGGGTTTAACTCCGGCTCATTCAGCAGGGCCAGGAGCAGATGACAACATGGGGATCCCTCCAGGTTTAGGGTTTAGGGTTTAGGTCCCAGTAGGGCTTTTGTTGTAGGGTTTCGGGTTTGGGGTGTAAATAAGAGCCATTGTTTTCAGAAAGCTCGCTTGAAAACAAGCAACACAAAGGAATCCTCATCCAGTACGATCTCATTAATGCCCCGAAAGCAGGAGATCCGTCAACATGTAAACCCTTCGTGTAAGGGACTTCTAAACCCTGAACCCTAAACCCTAAACCCCTAAACCCTAAGTTTTGCCTTTGGGAGGTGTTGGGTCGCGGGATGCGGCCGATTGACTGCAGGGGCACCGGTGCCGGGATGTGAAATCTGTGGCTCAAGTGCTCCCTGTCTCACGGAATGGGCACAATCCCAACCGAACCGTCCGCCCCATGGCCTGAGCCGATTTATGGGAGTTTCCGGGTTTAGGGTGTAGGGTTTAGGGTTTAGGTTTAGGGTTTAGGGTTTAGGGTTTAGGGTTTAGGGTTAAAATAAGGGGAACCTTCTTTTTGGGGTCCTTATAATAAGGATCCTACTCCTTGGGGTACTAAATTAGAGGCTCCCCTATTGTTGGAAACCCCCAGTTGCCTGGATGAAATCGGTTCGGGATGTTGGGCTCTCCGAACCGAACCTTGCATCAAGTGAACGGTAAAGTAGGGTCCCACTGTGGATCTAAGATTGTGCCATTTCAACAAGAAGACGTCCTAGCTTGTAGAAGCCACCGAAGATTTGTCTTCTAGGAAGCCACCCTAAACCCTAAACCCTAAGGCCTAAGCCCACAAGCCATAAAAGCCCCAAATCCACAAACCTTAAACCCTAAACCCTTATAGCCATAAAACCCCAAACCCTAAAGCAACCCAAGCGCAAGAGCCCTAAACCCACGTCACTGCAGCCTAAAGCCCCGAACCCCTGAAGGGCTTTCCTTGCATTTTTCAACTTCGCGGCCTTATAGGCTTTTAGGGTCTTATGGTTTAGGCTTTTAGAGTCTTGTGGTTCAGGGTTTCGGGTTTGGGTTTTAGGGTTTAGGGTTTTAGGGTTCAGGGGTTTGAGGTTTGCGGTTTAGGGCCTTAGATGGCCGTGTCATGTGGGTCGGGGCACATTTTCAGGTGGGTAATTACCGTTATAGGAGCCTATATACCTTATGGAAGCCTTATNNCTCCCCACCTGTAGTTTCCTTAAACCCGAAACCCTAAACCCTAAACCCCAAACCCTAAACCCTAAACCCTAAACCCTAAACTCCCCTTCCTTTAACGTGTCACGTGGGTCGGGGCCCCTGACTGGAGCTCCAAGGCTTTGCCATGCGATGGCGTCTCTTCAGCCTGCTGCTAGCGCTGGAATCAGTGCACTCCCAGGCTTTCTAGGGTTTAGAGTTTAGATTTTATATTTAGGGTTTAGGAGTTAGGGTTTAGGGTTTAGGGTTTAGGGTTTAGGGTTTAGGAGTTAGGGTTTAGAGTTTAGGGTTTAGGGTTAGTTCCGATGATTTCCGACTCTTTCAAAGGGTTCGGTTTCTGAGCCCAAGACTTGAACCCTACTCCGGATCCCGACCCCATCCGAATCGGAGCACTGCGGGCCGGATGCCATCAGTTTCGATGCCAGATCTTCCACAGGACAGCGCATGCGAGGTCGATGACGACGTGCGAAGTGCCGAGGAGCCTTTTCTGTTTAGGGTTCAGGGTAGATTGGTAAAAATAGAGATGGTTCAGAGGTCGGGGTTTGTTGAGGTTTG